ATCAAATGTTTAATCCAGCATAGACTATTTCAGGATAATCTAACATAACCTAATATTATCAACAAGCACTCATTGTCATTATTATTGGCAAATTTCGAAAATATATTTCTTTTTTTCAGTTATACAAATTGTTCAAATATATCAAATGTTTAATCTAGCCTAGACTATTGTGCTCAATTTCAGGAAAGTAGTACAAATAGTCTACACTTAGCTTTGTTTTGGAGCGTCTTTTGAGAGAAAGCCGCTAAAGGGGGATGGGCATCGGCGATTGTGCCCTGGGCACCGACGAATGAGCTAACTTTTTAAATTATGGCATCGGAACAATTGCATTATTCCCGTGGATTCCAGCTGCCCCGGGGAAATTATGAAACTTAATTCCAAAGCGTCCCGGCAATGTGTCGTACGTTACCATTCACCTTATACACCACCGGGACCTGTTATACGCCATCTTTTGACAATATTTGACAACTCGCGTGAAGTATAAAGTGAAAAAGTTCATATAAATGTACGATTTATGAGCAAGTAACAAAAATTCACAATTGTAAATATAATTATATTACATATTAAATATCAAATTACGTTTTCAGGTAACAAATTAGATTCGAATACTAGCCTACCTAATCGTCAAACAAATGCATCCTCGATCGTGATATCAATGGTAGACTTTAATGCGAAACGAATATCCCCCCATCGTTTGTCGAAGAATGATAGGGAAAGGAGGCGTTACGACGAAATCGTGAGAATGTCAGAGACAAAGCGTCCCTTTTCCCGCGAATAATTTCCCCATTCGTTTCAACAACGTCATTTTTCCGTCCATGTTTCTGCGGAATAGGTCTGGCAAAGAACACTTGTGAGGCGTTTAACTCAAATTTTATTTCTTCTTTTTAAACGTAGAATCATGTGGACGAATTGAAGATTTTAAGAGACGTGCAATTTATAAATCGTTAAACATAATTGTAATTACATTAATTATAACTTAATTATTTTTAATTCCAATTGTAACTATCACACGAGAAAAAAAAAAAAAAACAACAGAAAAAGCACTTTCACATCGATCCTTCCAAAAGTGCGACGATACTAAATCAAAAATAATGCCAAGATGCTCTTCGAAAGGATTAAAACAACCATTAAATAGTACGAAACTAATCGTCCACTTGAATTGCAGCGATGGTTGACCCATATGTAAATTCAACGAGGGAACGTGCATTAATTATAGGTTATACACAGAGACGTGCGGTATACGCTCGGTTGGCGTACGAGGGAACGCGCATTACTAATACCTTGAATCTGTCTGGTATAGTAAAGGGCAGGACGTACGGTTGAATTATGGTGAAATTAATGGCGGCGTGACAAATATGAAGAAACAACATCCGACGCAGAAATAGACGTTAGGAGGTAAACGTTCATCCGCGAGCTGTACGCGTTTCCACTGCTCATTTTTAATGCTAAAATATGGCGTGACACATTGCGCATGCGCGCACACGCTTTAAGTACAATGTTACCCTTAATGAACTCAAAAGTTGGATCTATCCGAGACGTTTTAAGGGCACATTTAAATTCCGTGTCCCGTGACATTCATTTTTTCTGTTCTTCCTCTTTTCCTTTATTATTTCTACGTACAGTGTGTCACTGAGAATAAGTAAAAATCTACTCTTTTTAAATTGTTCTTATCCTCTTGAGAAATAAAAAGTAACAGAAAATGAATATGAATTATCGAATACGTTTACCTAACTCTTCCAATGATTAATTATTATAGATAAGAAAAATCAATAAACTAATTATAAAGATTCACGATATAAAACGATAATTTTCATTAATTGGTCATAGAATATCTTTTTAATCACTAATGCATATATCCTGGATAACCTATGTTTTAGCAAAGCAATTTTCGTTCTGGACGATTTTATCACTAGGAACGTTCTTAATTCAAGGGTAAGCGAGAAGCCGGTTAAACAATTGGTCTTAAGGGGTCGTTACTAGACGTCGAACGCAGACTTGGATCATTCGCCTAACTAAACTTCTCCCGTTCTCTCCTTACTTCGTTTATCTTTACCCTCTTCTACGCAGCTAAAGTCGTTAGCATTTTTATTGAGCAATTCCATTATGAAATTAGAATATATTTTTTTTTTGTTATCTTGCATTTAAACCTCTTTCTATAATATAATTACTTTGAATGTTCCACTCCACTATTTGAATTCATATTTTATTATCTATTTATTTATATGAAAATAGTAATTTTAATTCGCACAATGAAATCTATCTTGTTAAACGTATCCACGATGTGTAATAACCAGAGATGTTTTTAACTTACGTTCGTCGCAGAAACCGCCTTTCCACCCAGGATTACATACACAAGACCCTCTAACACACTGTCCGTGTTGATTGCAATCAGGAACTTGGCAGTCTCCTAATGGTATATCACATTCGGCACCTTTCCAGCCGTCTTCGCAATGGCACATACCGCCACCATATTGCCCGTGAGACGAGCACAGTACCGGGCACACGCTTTTACTGCAATCGGCTCCCTGAAAATTTTTATCGGTTCCCCTATTATCTTTTATTCTCTCTCTCTTTCCCCCTCTTTTCTCTTTCATAAATATGATCGACGAGCGACGTTAGCGACACCATTTCGCGATCTAATCGTTTCGATCAATGTGCAAGTAATTCTTTCGGAATGGTTACGCGAGAATAGTAGTGATGGACGGAATTGAATCGTTTCAGATTCAATAATACAATTGTGCGCAAGATTTGTGGCACCGGATTTTAGAGATTCTCGTTTGAACAAATGTTATTCTTTAAAATTATTGTCAGTTGATATTACGATATGGTTCTTAAATTATTTTTTTGAGGTTAGGTTGCATCCGTTCTTTCAATTTTTAGAACGCTTGTGAATTTATCTTCAGAACGATAGAAACGTGCAATTTAAAATAATATTAAAATTCTATTGTTGCTTATTAAGATAATTAATAAATTAATGAATTTCACATTTATTCTTTCGAAACATTATACGTACATATAATCGCAATAACAATTTATTATATTAATCTTAGAGTTTCGTAATCAATTAACGTAATATTAATGCGAATATGGCCATATGTTTATCTAGTTGAAGCGTATATATTCTAGCTATCCACTTGATCCTGATTAAAATGACCTTACCTTGCCCGTTACATAACGGGTATTTCACTTCATCAGTCGAGGACTAACAAGGGGAGTATATATATATATATCGTATAGATGAACGGTTCAACATAAATTTTGCACATCGAGTATTGTAATATATCAGAAACGCTAAGTTTAAAATTTCTGTTTTAAATTTAAAAAAAAAAAAAATCAAATCTAAGATTAATATTGCAATATATCCCTATATTCTTAATTAAAATCGATCTTCAAACTCCTCAACGTCTCAATCTTGCAAACTTAAGCCTTCCAAGAAACCTGAGAATACCTACGCACCTGATACCCATCGATACAGTCGCATTTTCCAAGATAACAGGATCCTCTTCCAGAACAGTCGTTCGGGCAGGTCGTCGATACACCCTCGGCTTCGGTCACGACCAGGGTGACCTTGTATGGCTGCAACTCATCGTTATACACCGAAAGGAACCAACGTCCAGTATCCAGATACTGAAGCAAGCTAACGTTCACCATCATCGGTTCCACGATCGTTCTCTTGATCAGCACATGTTGGTACGAGCGACTGTCACCAGATCGAGCCTCTGTCGCCGCCGTTTTCATGAAACTGACCGCCTCCGAACTGGTATCTCTTTTCAATCTATGATCCACTCTACCACCTTTCACAAATTCCACAAAATCATACTGCGTGACACTTGGCGCGACATTTCGCCTTCCGTAGACGGCAAAGTTCGCGCCCCAGGGCAGAGTAAGATTCAGTCGGATGAAGGCAGGCTGCTTGTTCCGGAACTCAGTGTTCCAGAAATGGTAAGGCGGGATCATGGCCGAGTGAGCCACGTTGTACGCCTGGAGCTCGAGCACCGCCGGCCATTGCTGGGCTGATTGCTGAATCTGAGGATCGCTCTGTTGGTCCCCAGCGCTGTCCGACGCACTCGAGTGCTCCGCAGTGCTTGTCGGTAACGACTCTGCGTGAAGAGAAGAGAAGAGAAATTTGATTATTTCTCGTGTATTTGTAAATGTAATTCTAAATATTTTAGAGAAATATCAAGAGATATTCGAATATTGTTTTAAAGAAAATTATTATTGACTTCAAATTCCAATATTTTATTGGCTAAAAATTATTCCGGTTTTTAAAATTCTATTTATTGGTATTTGTTAGTATTCTCTTCAATTTCAATAATATCTGTATCACGTTGTACGTATTGTATTGAATTCTCCGTTAATTTTGACTCCGTTTAAACGTTTGTCGCGCTATTTAATAGCTCATAGTCTTGCGACAAATGCATAGCAGTAGTGCAACTCGACGAATGTAGGTACACATCGGAACCGATATTATTCTCGATGCGGCCATTGTATAGTTATGTACGAGACGGCCGATATCAGGACAGGGGAAGCCATTCGAACGCGGCAGACGTCTCCCAAAAGCAATTACCGCGAGACGTCGTACATCGGAGTATTTACATCATGTATAGTGAATGCAAATTGATACCGCCTGATATTTACCTTCGGTGGGTATTTGCGTTGATATCGGGTCGTGAACGTGCGCGTTCTCATGAGTGACAGCCTTCACGTCTTGGACCACCACGCATTTCGTGCTGTCTATCGGCCGCATCGAGCTCACTGCTGAAAAGAAAACAGAGTTTGCCCTTTAACCATTAACAGGAATACGTCAATAATATGTCAAAGAGAGTCATTTCTGTTTCAAAATAAACAGATTCCTCGTTTCCATGTCTATGAATAATACTTTTGAAAAAATTATATTCGAAAAAATTATATATACTTTTGAAAAATTATATAAAAAAAATATATGAATATATGGATTGTTTAATATACAAAGGTGAAAAGTTTGTTTTTAGAAGTTAAACGATGTTTCCACATTTATAAAATCCATTTGATCTTGCAAAGAATGGCATCAAGAATGATACAATTTTAACATTGCTCGACCATCGCGATATTGTATCGCGTATAAGAAAGTTGCAGTACCATCGTTGGCCAGCTTTCTTTATAAATACAAGCGCACGTATATACACACAAGTACGTGTATATATTTTACGGTCTATACAACAAAAGTGCACGCAATCAACTTGTTATATTCTTAATGTAGGTGGCCACCACTTCAGACAAAATACCGCCGTAACGCGACTCTTTTATTGCACGAGGTATCAGGAACAAGGCTTTGGCCGAATGTACCGTGATGTCCTAATGGCTTCATAAATTTAAACAATCGCTTTCGAATTACATGGGACACTAGATATCCATGAGGCGACCTCTCTTAGTAACTTTTCAAGATGGCAATCCGAATGACAAAGACCGCGTCTTTGTTTCCGTATTTAATGCGTATAGTCGATAATTGATGAGTAGACACGATAAAGTTTGTTCTTTGTGAATAGTGAAGTGTATTTTTGTATTGCGAAAGGAAATAGATTAAAAATCTGAACGCAATATTTTGTTCAAATTATTCTCTGTATTCTTAAGATTATTTATGACAACATAACCTAACCTTTAATTATTTAGTAAATAAGAAAAAGTGATTTTTTCTTTGCTATAAAAATAAGATTGCGTGAAAGCATAATGCTTTCATAGGATTATAATGTAACTATAAATCATATTTCTATTTATGTACTATGTGTATATACTATGTGTACTCTAATGGAAAGAAGCCATAAATTATATAGAATATGTGAACTGTATAGAATATATGATTTTTATTACAAAGATTCTGTCATGCATATTATGATACGTGATTTTCTCTATAAATTCATATTCTGCGATTTCTTATATATCATTATAGTTTACATACAGCAAATTCTTAAAAACAAATCATAATTCTAGTTAAACGATTATCATTTGAATTTGCAATGATCATTAAAATATTTATGGTAACACTTTACAAATATAATTTCAATATTATTTATTGATTGTAAAAGAAGCAGGAGCATTTGATATTCTTTCATGATGATCTATACATATGTACTCAATTTATATATGAACAAAAACATTAGCTTTAGATTGAATGGAGGAAATAAATTTTAATAAAGAGGTTAAAGATACAGATGTAAGTGTTTTAACTATTATAATTTTTGCTTCTTTCAATTAAATAATATTTTTTTCTGGTATTTTTTTTTCATAATAAAAAATTAATGAGATATTTAAGATGCTCTAAATGATATTTATTACATCTTTCAGATAAGAAGAACATCAAATTTAAAATGGTAATAGATCTCACAATAAAATCTTTATTCCCAACCATGAATTATCATGACTGATATCTTTCTCTACTATTTGCAGTACAATGCATTATTTAATAACATCTTGACTTATCAATGCATCTCATTTTGTGCTTTCAGCTGAATTCATGCATTATTATCGAATAATTTGACAAAAGAGAATCACATTTTGATTATTAATATTTCACTGTATATTCGTCTATTTCTCTCTTTTTTTTTTTAAACTTTTTTTTCATGTGTTTTGTTGCATTTCTTTGATTTATTAGACATCTCTTATTGCATGTGCAATAGTATATCCGCAGGAATCACATGGTCGGCAGTAGTGAAAACCGTCCAATCACATGCGAAGTCGTTGTCATACTGACAGAGATAGTAATTTATGTGCAGAGTAATATTTTCTTTTCCACGTCATCCGGCTGGATTCATGGGCCGGCAAATAGAATTCTCACGTGCATGACATTGTCGAGTGTGTTCCATTAGTGCATCGACGATTGATATGTATATTTGTCAGAATGATCTTTGTGATCTATCTATATCGAGCTAAAAGTCGATTTTTGTCACATTTTATTTTCATTATTATTTTTTCTTCATGCATTTAATCGATATTATTTTGTTTTTTTTTTAATTATCTTTTAAAATAATTAAAAAAGAAATATCAAAATAAGAAACAATTATTCTGTGTCAAAATTTTCTTTTAGACTCTATCAATTTACCATCGATTCATCATTCTTTAGACAAAGGAAAAAGAATGAAAGAAAAAAGACTGAAAATAAGATGAAAAACTCCAAGGATACAATTCCAATTACGATCATCGATTGTTTGATTCCACGTGTCACTGGCGAGGGACAAATTACTGTCTCTTTCACGTGAAAAAGTGGACGCATGCGATCTCTATGTTTCGGTGATTTGCACGCAACTGTAGAAAAATAGATTAACTCTGGTTGCAGAGACCGTATACTGCGAAATAACTGGAAAAGAAGGAGTGTCCTCGCGAGATCGACGCCGCTCGTTACGTAACTATCGTTGGAAATTGAGTTGCAGTGAACTGTGAACTGACCTTATTTCGTTAGCATCAAGAGCAACCATGGCGACGTTTTCGTCCTCATTTCTCGTCGATCGTCAACCACCGTTTCTACGTGCATTACGTGTGTCACACGAGTTTCTCTCTTCTGTGTATTAGCTCGTGTGCAACTATGTTGCCTAACCTCGAATTACGAATTCGAATTGCATTTCTTCTATACGTGTGTTAAAACCCATACGTGTGGCGAATTTTATTGTAGGAAAGGTGAATTGAAATTCGCGAAACTCCAAATAAGTTGTTCGACTTTGAAGATGAGGTTTGGATTTCCCTGTGGGCAGTGTGAATAGTGGAAGTCGAAATTCATAACGTAAACACACACACACATATACATATATACATACACAAAAGAATGTAACTTATCAAAGTAGGTTCAACTTGTGAAAGAAATATCGCGTTTTAATGAACTTTTGTCATTTTTTTTTTT